CATGAGACAAAGTATATGTGAACTGCTGTATGGAAAGTGAATGTGCTCTTTAAATCTTCACCCATATCAAAATAAAATAAAAAAAAAAAAACTGATGTAAAAGGAAACATGTGGTTAACTGGGGAAAGGGAAGTAAACTAGGAGATAAAACAATGGGCATCCAGCACATATTTCCACACAGCTCTTCAGTCCTGCTCTACCAGAGCTACCCACACCAGAGCTCCTCTGGAAGGCATTGACAACTAATTTGCCTTCCTCATGTAAATTTCAACATACTTGTAGTTGGCATGCTCAATGACATAAGCTCCATGAGGGTAGAGATCCTGTCTCACCTATTAACTACTGCCACCACAGTGCCCAGTAGTGGGGGCTCAGTAAAAACTTGTTGAGATGAGTCATTGCACTTTTAGGATGCTCTAGAGACAACTCTGGGTGCATCTGGGGGTGATCCCATCCTGGCATGCCCTCCTGGGTGATGGACAAAGAATCCCAAGAGGACCCACAGTTGCCATTGATTCCTGGAAAGGAGATTACTGGTAAATTATGGTCATGTTCAAAGGTCTGAGATTGAAATGATGACCTTCTCATACACACCTGGAAACATATAAGTCACATATAAGGTATAATTGACCTTAGAAATCTCTTTGGAAAGAGACAAAATTGTAGTACCCTTGGTATATCACTTACTAACCTTGGCTTCATTATATGCTGTAATTGAATACTGGTTTTCCTAAAGTAGACAGAACTATATGAAGTATTGAGCCTGTATGAAAAGACTAGAGATGAGAGATGTTTGGATTCAAAGTCAAGTGTACATGGTCTTACTATGAGCTCTATTGATAATTTGTAATATCATCTTCCAAAAAAAACCAAACTCACTGCCGTCGAGTTGGATCCAACTCATAGCGACCCTTCCTTGGGTTTTTGAGGAGGTATCTCTATGGAAGTAGATTGCCCAACCTTCCTTCCAAGGAGTGGCTGGTGGATTTGAACTGCCAGCCTTCTGGTTAGCAGTCAAATGCCTTACGCACTATGCTACCAGAGCTCCCAATGTCATCTCAGACAAGTAATTTCCCCTTCCTGAACCCCAGATGATCAAGACACAAAATGAATAGCCTAAAATAGATAAATTCCAAGGGCCCTCCCAACTCCAACAGTTCACAATGTTTTCATTCTGTAGTCTTCTACAGGCATGTTCCTCATCGATCAGAGGGTTGCTCAGTAATGTGTTTTGCCTTCCTCACAATTCCATATACTTTGAAATGATAAAGGTCATGGGTTGTGGGCTTGTTGTTTTATGCTGGTGTGGTTGCTTTTTTTTTTTTTTAATTAATATGCAGCCTAATTAGCCATGCTATTGTTGTTGTTGGTTGCCATTGAGTCCACTCTGACTCATGGCAATCCCATATACGACATAATGAAACCTTGTCCAGTCCAGCACCATCTTCACCATCATTGGTATGCTTGAGTTCATTATTGCAACCACTTGTGAGTGCTTTCCAACCTGAGGCTCATCTTCTAGTGCTATAATAGACTGGGTATTCCATAACTAATCACGGTAAGGAGATCTTATGAATGTGTTTGTGTCTTGCCCCTTCCTCATAGCCATGTTGCAGGCAGTGCGAGCCCTGATGATCGTGGGCATTGTCCTGGGTGCCATTGGCCTCCTGGTATCCATCTTCGCCCTGAAGTGCATCCGCATGGGCAGCATGGAGGACTCTGCCAAAGCCAACATGACACTGACCTCTGGGATCATGTTCATTATCTCAGGTAAACGAGGTATAGGGTTCCCACTCTCAAAGGTGACTCTGGGAATGCCAAAAGCAAAAGTTGAACTACTCAAGGAAATATGGCTCCTCCCCCACTGCTGACATGATCCAGAGCCTTTCATACTGGGATTGAAGATGTGAGTTCAGAGGCCCAACCACATTCTACAGAATCATCACCAGTGCTAAGGTCTCTCCTAACTGCCATCTCCAGCCCCATTATAAGAAGTCTTCAACCCTAAAATAGTCATAAACTCAATCCCTAAAGGCATTACTGTGGCAAGACATTAGAAAGTGATTTTAAGGGCATGCCCTTGATATCATCCAAAGACTAACCCAAAATATTTGGACTATTGACTCCTGGTCCCAAAATGCATTAAAAATCTGTCTGCACACACAGAGATCCTTCCACAATTAATGAGATAAGGAACTAAGCACCTAGCACAGTGCCTAGCATATAGTGGGAGTGCAATAATCAATGTTTGGACTGACCTTTTTATTATAGGAATGGAATATTCCTGCTCACCTAAGCTCATTTAAGCTCCCTCTCAGTTGCCTCAGAAACTATGTGACCCTTTAAAGCTGATTCCAGAGCTTTCTTATTGTTTGCCCACAGGTCTTTGTGCAATTGCTGGAGTATCTGTGTTTGCCAACATGCTGGTTACTGACTTCTGGATGTCTACAGCTAACATGTACACTGGTATGGGTGGGATGGTGCAGACAATACAGAACAGGTAAGCTCTTAATCTAGGTCTCAGTATTCCATGGCAAATGTTGTTGTCAGAATCCGATTAAACACATATGCCTAATGTGACTGTCAGTGCCTGAAATGGCAAACATTTCTCAGAGGCAACCATGCCATATCATAAATCAACAATGATCTGTAAATTCATAAACTTCATTTCAGTGAAATATTCTTAGGGATATGACTTAAGGCTGATCCGACATTTGCATTGAAATACAGTGACAGTTCACAGTATTTAACACCCATATACAAGCCTCATTGTGGTGGCAATGAAACAGGAACTATTAACCCAGGCATGTAAATGAGCATCAAGTTATATACCCAGTCCAGGGCAGGAACCTAGCTAGGGATAGGTAAAACCTTGAATAGAAATCAGCAAGGTGCAGTACAGAGAAGAAAAGTGATATTTCTGCCTTCTACAGTTGCTTCTTTCTCTCATGCATTAATTCATTCATTCCACAAATGTATTGAGCACCTGCTGTGTGTCAAGAGTGGTGCATGGTGCTGGGGATGCAGACAAGGCCTCTACTCTCTCTAGCAGAGGAGGCTGAAACCTCACTATAATTTGGCGACTGCAGGAAGGTAGAACCTTGAAAAGATAGCTGAGCAATTCCAACACTGTCTTCATTTAGCCACTTCAGAAGGGTACATCTCATCACAAAAAACAGCCGAAAATTCCTGAAGAAGAAAAATCTTGCTCTGGAAGAAAGATAGAAGTGTTAAGCCTAAGTGACCCATCATTTCTAGAAGGGATACAGTTGGCATTTCTCCAGCCACATCAACATGGAAGTACAGATATGAGAACATGATGAATCCATTACTCTCTGGCTCCCTGGACTCAAATCCCCATTCATTTTCCTGCTTCATTTCAAGAAGGGGAAGGAAGTGATCCCTATAAGCTCCCCTTATTCTCCTCCATGATCTTCCTGTAGTCTCTTTGTTACAAGGGCAACCAAGAAGTAGGCTGCCCAACTCACCCACTTTAGTCCAAGGCTTTCCCAGTTTTAGCAGTGACAGTCCTGCCTCCTGGAAACTCCTCAATCATGGCAACTAGATGGTTGGTCACCCAACTTAGAGAGAACCCACCCTGCCCAGAGTACCTGGGTTCCTAGTACTGCTGCCCCTGCCCTGAGGAGCCACGCACCACCCACATGGCCTGCCATCATCCTCTCTCACACACACCATCTCCCTGCAACTGTGTGTATGACACTGGCAGAGCCAAAGTCCCAGACCAGATCTACAAACTACCTGCCCTTTGCTACACACAGCCTACAGAGGAGTTTTGTATTATTTTAGACTTTTTTTTTTTAATCATTTGAGTTAATCACCAACATTTAAAAATTAGAAATGCTCTGAGTTGTGTTACCTGAAAACAGAACCTAAGATCCATGAATATCTATGTGCTCACAAATTAAGGAAGTGCTCCCAGGAGAAACTGCTCAAGGAGTAGGAGAAGCAGGACAGGAAAAGGGAGGAAGCTGGACTGTGATTTGAGGTGAAGTCTTAGACTCAGCCTGATCCTGAGGAGAGCTATGAGATTGTACATCTCAGAGGAATGTTAACTCTACTCAGAAGAGCTGAGTTTTTCCACATATACTAGTCAGTCTCTGTGCATGTGGGCAAAATGACTCCAGTGGTTGAACCCAAGCTATAACTCCAGGGGGAGCCACAGATGCCAGTAGGTAGAAGCAAAAGAACACGGAAGCTGGGGGAGAGAGACCCAGAAACAGTTAAAAGGCTCTGCAGGGGTCTGGGTAGAGCACCACTAGTGCTTGCCACACGTTTTTTCCAGCTTCTTATAAAAATCAGAAGATCTGGCAGCAATGCATTTTCTCAGATAACAGCAATTTCTGCAACTGAGAGAGAGCTCCCCTTTTAGTGAGTATCTGTACTTTCCAGTTTGCCATAGTTTCCACCACTCTCAAGAGCCTCATCACTGAGGCCATTTATCATCTTGCTTATGTTTTTGCACATACAATAGAGTTGAGAAGGAAGTGAAATATTTTCTTATATCCAGCCCACTACACACATTTAAGATGCTTGCCTGTCAAAGATAGGTATTATAGTTTACTAACCTTGTGCCATAGTGCCTAAGGCATTTGACTGCTAACCAGAAGGCTGGTGGTTCAAACCCACCAGCCACTCCTCAGAAGGAAAGTTGAGCAATCTACTTCCATAGTGATACTGCCTTGGAAACCCAAAGAGGGGTTGCTATGAGTTGGATCTGACAACGGCAGTGAGTTTAACGTCGACCAAGAGGGTCTAAGTTGAGGAAGGAGACCTTGCTCCTCATATACAGTAGATAGTATTTTCTCATCTGTAAAATGAGAATGTGTAAAGGATTGAATTGTGTCTCACAAAAATATGTATTGAAATCCTGCTTCCTATACATGTAAATAAGGAGCTCCGGTAGCACAGTGCCTAAGGCATCTGACTGCTAACCAGAAGGTTGGTGGTTCAAACCCATCAGCCACTCTGTGGAAGCAAGACTGGGCAATCAATCTACTTCTGTAAAGATTTACCACCTTGGAACCCAATGGGGGTTGCTATGAGGCCAGAATTGACTCGATGGCAGTGAGTTTGGTTATACTTGTAAATATGATCCTATTTGGAAATAAGATTGTCTTTGTTATGTTAATTAGGTCATACCTGAGTTGAGTGGGTTCTAAATCTAAACACTTCTAAGTTTTAAAAGAGCAGAGTGGACACAGATACACAGGAAGAAGAGGACAGACAACGGAAACAGATGCATACAAGGATTGCTGACAGCTACTAGAAGCTGAAATAGACAAGGAAGCACCTCCCCCTAGAGCCACACCATGAATTTGGACTTCTAATCTCCTGAATTGTGAGAAAATAAATTTCTGTGGCGTTTGTGTTATGGTAGCCCTAGGTAACAAAGATAAAGTGATAAATCCTACTACAGTGACTATGGGGAGGATTAATGAAAGAGTGGTCAGTTTTTATCACAATATCAGTAAGGGATCAATAAATGGTAGCACTTTCTGTAATTATCATTAATATTACACAGTCACTCAATCATCTACAGAGGTCCTGTCTGTGCCAGAACACGGTGACTAGGGATGCCCCAGGAAAGCTGCCCAGTGTTCCCCCAGGAGGACTTCCAGAAAGGGATCTGCTGTTTTGACTCCAGCCATACTGGGGGTACTGGGAAACAGGCTGAGATTCTTCACCCCAAGACAGCAGCCCTCAAACTGAGTATTTGTCTTTTCCCAGTTCAAGGGAAATAAAAATAGCCTATAGATAAATTTTCTCCCAGAACATTTTCATGGGTTCAGCTCAGTGTGCCAGCTTGGCCCTTCACATTACTCTTGGTCTTCAGACTTATATTGTTTGTTCATCCTGCTAGAATGCAGGTGCTTTTAAAGCGCATCTAATGTGTCTTCCTTTCTTAGGTTGTAGAGGTCTGCACACATACTGCTGTTTTCCTACTGCTGGTATAATGTTTCCAGTTTGTGCAATAGATTTTAAATACATCAGCACTTTATGGTGTTCCACAAACAGCCCCCACGCTCTCTGAGGAACACCAAAGGAAATCTGCAGTGGAAGCTGCCACTGTACTGAGCTCTCCTTTTCTGCATGGATTTTGGAGATGCAGATCCAGCTAACATTGAAATTCCCCCACTGACATCTTAACAGTTTTTGGTCACTGTTTTTGTCTGAGTTTCCTAAGGCTGCTGTAACAAAATATCACAAACTAAGTGGCTTAAAAAAATAGATATTTAATTTCTCACAATTCTGGAGGCTGGCAGTTCAAATCAGGATATCACCTATGTCAATTCCTCCAAGAGCTTTGGGAGAAGAACTGTCCCATGTCTCCCTCCTAGCTTCTAGCGGCAACTGGCAATCCGTGGTGTTTCTCTGCTCTTTCCCCTTATGTGTGACTCTCTTCCTGCCTGTCCTCCCCTTTCACAGTGAAACCTGTGAGAGTCAGAACTCAATGGGATTGCCTTGTTTTTCAGGGTCTCATAAATTTTCTGCCTTTGACAGGGTGAAGTTTTACTACTTTTCTATTGTTTTTTTTAAGGGAAAATATTTAAACTTTCCTTCTCTGACAGGTTTCCACTTTACACAAGTTCTGGCTCTTGCAGACCTTACTATATAAAATATGCCACTCACAAGAGATTAGGAGTAGGATCCACCATATTCCAGAATGCTTTAACTGATATTTCTTCAAAGCAAGATCCTGTTTCCCCAAACAAGGTCACATTCACAAGTACAGGGGTTAAGACTTCAACGTATCTTTTTTGAGGAACACAATTCGATCCATAAAAGTAAGGTATTTTTTTGTTTTGTTTTTGTTTTATGATTTCAGTGAAAGTTTACAGAACAAATTGGTTTTCCATTCAACAATCCATACACATGCTGTTTTGTGACATTTACTGCAATCCCTACACTGTAATAGCATTCTTCCCACTTTCTCCCTATGCCCACCCCTTCTCTTCCTTCTTCCTTTCTATCCCTTCCCACCTTCCTAGCTATATCCCTAAGCAAATGCTGTCCTCTTAATCTCATATGCTTCATTGTTATAATGAGTGCATACCCTACTGATGTTACTAACAGTGAGGTTTTAAGGATAGCTCTTTGTCCATTTGGAATCAGAACTCTCTTGTTCTCTAGAGATTTTCTTCTCATACAATTCCATTCCATGTAAATGAGTGTCAAGGGAGGGATCCCTCAGGGGAAAGGCACCAGTTTTGGAGTCAGATAACTTCAGTTAGAATTCCAACATAGACTGAAACAAAGCACCATGTGGGCAAGATCTGTGTCTCTCTTGTTCTGTCTACATCCTTGCACCTGGACAGTGCCAGGCACTTAGTGAGTGTCAATAAATATTTGTTGAACAACTGAATGAATGAATGAATGAATGGTCACTTCAGCTTAGTTTTTTCTCAAGGTAATGCTCCTACTTCCTAGTGTGAGGATTACTCAAGAAAAGATAAGAAGAAAGCTTAACCCACAACTTAAGGAACTAAACTCCTTCCAGAAATAATAACTGATTCCATGTCTCTCAAACTTTGCTGCCAAATATTCAAGAGCCTTTGCCACTTGGGAGGGAAGGGGGAGCTTCCTAAAATGTTTCTCTGAGATCCGAGGCTTGTAATTCTGTGCCTGAGTGATGTTAGAGACCCAAGAATCTCACTGCTCACTAACTTCAGTCCCAATTTTGTTCTCCAGGGCACCGTGACTAGATTGGATTTGCCCCAAGAGAGTATATGTCCAGGGGACATGGGTAGGGATATGTGTGGAATCCAAAGATAGGGGCACGGAGGCCAGGCATGGCAAGACACAGCTAGGCAAAGCCTGGAGAGTTGAATCACCACACTCACAGCAGCCATCTCTCTGCTCAGGTACACCTTTGGTTCAGCTCTGTTTGTGGGCTGGGTTGCTGGAGGCCTCACGCTGATCGGGGGTGTGATGATGTGCATTGCCTGCCGGGGCCTGATGCCAGAGGAAACCAAGTAAGTCTGCCCTTCCCAATGCAATCAGCCATTTTGTTTGATCTGAGTCCACTTTAGGGTGTAAATAGCAGCCAAAATGATTAGTTTAGGCATATGGAAGATTATTAATAAAAGGATTATTGAACTTTCTCTTTCTGAGGGATATTCCAGTCTGAGTAGATTTAGGTGCTGACCTATTTGAAGAAAAACCACACTAGTAGGTGTCTTCTAGTCCCTGGGTGGTACTGATGACTAGGAGCTTGACTACTAATTGAAAGGTTGGCAGTTCAAACCCACCCAGAGGCAACTCAGAAGAAAAGTCTGGTGATCTGCTTCTGAAAGGTCATAGGTTTGAAAACCCTGTGGAGCAGTTCTGCTCCACACATAGGGTTACCATGAGTCAGAATCAACTCAACAACAATGGATTTGGTTTTGAAGGGTGTCTTGTAGCTCCAGTGATCTGTAACTGAAGTGGTTCTCAGCTCAGAGCAATTCTGCCCCCAGGGACATCTGGCAACATTGAGTCATGTTTTAGTGTTACAACTGGAAGAAGGGTGATGCAAGCATCTAGTGGGTAGACACCAGGAATGTTGCTTGCTATGAGTTGAATTGTATTCCCCCTAAATTTCTGTAGAAGTTCTAACCCCTGGCACACATGTGCCAGGAAACCCCTGCCAAGGGAAAACCAGGAAAATTGGTCTTCCAGGTCTTGGGCCACTGATTTTCTACCTCTGCACTGGAGACAATCTCTTGCTTTGTAGTAGAGCTTTGCTGAGCTGAGTGTAGACTAGTGTGTTCCTTCTGCTAATCAATTAAAATGAAGTTATTTATTTTCTATAAACACTATTCAGGGGAATATTATCATGCTGAAGAATTTGTGAGCTGCAAGTCACCTATGTGCAGCTCCCAATCTGTTCATTTTATGGATGAGATAACAGAGGCCCAGAGAGGGCTAGAGATCACAGGAATAGTTAGCAGTAGAACCAGGCTTTCAGTGCTAAACTGAGACCATCCAGGATAAATAGGGTGGTGGTCAGCCCTCCATAGACATCTGTGGTCATAGAATGTTTCTTTTTCTTTCAGCTACAAAGGTGTGGCTTACCATACCTCAAGCCACAATGTCACATATAAGTCTGGAGGCTTCAAGGCCAGCACTGGCTTTGGGTCCAATGCCAAAAACAAGAAGATATACAATGGGGAGGCCCGCACGGAGGACGAGATGCAATCTCACCCTTCCAAGTATGACTATGTGTAGTGCTTCAAGACAACTCAGCATGGGCAGAGGAAACCCTCCAATTAGAGCTTACCCTAGAAACTAGGAGATTTTACCATGATTCCTCATTGCTTTTGACCCTTGGATGGTTGGAAGTTAAAGAAACCTTGATTTCATCTGTTGTAGGGCGCCAGATGGTCTTGGCCATGTGCCTCTGTCTCTAGTTGTTCCATCACAAAACAGCTGAGTTATCATGTATAAACAAGAGGCTAATGCTCATATTTTCCAATCCTTTATTTCCCTCTTTTTCAATATAACTTTTCTAATCTGATGATAGAATGTGGTTTGCATCCCTATCAGACACTCTTGATGATTTACACAGACTCTCCCTCCTCCTTCTGGTCAATAAACCCATTGAGGATCTACTTCCCAGCTCACCCACCCCAGCAAAATTTTAAAAGGAAAAAAAAGAGAGTCAATTAAAAGATTTTATTTTCTACTATTTGAATTTTGCCTTTCCACCACCAGTAAGGCTGTTAACAAATATTACTTGAAGGAGAGATGATAGGGAAAAGGTATTTGTAATCTCTCCAGCCCATCAGCTCAACTCTCTTGCATGTGATCTCGGAAGTTACATGGCCCAAGATGATTTTCAGTTTGAAGAAACCAAGACTTTCTGTTGGCATCTGCTAATTCCAGCAAGACTGCCCTCAGGGTTTCCTGAGATATCCACTAGAGGTTCTTTTTCTCTCCTAAACCAGAAATCATCCCTAAAAGAATAAGAAAAGGAGCTTTTTTTCCTTTTCTTTTTTGTAATCTCAGTCCTAAATACAATTAAGATAAATAATGTATTTTTAAAATGATATCCTATCTCTGTGAATTAGCCTCATCCTGCATGCACATGGATAGAAGAAAATGAAAAAGTAATTGCTTTGATGTTGTCTACATTGTGCTTTGTCAAGTTACACTTATGTTTGAATTTCACGAAATGCTCCTGATCCTCGTTCTTCCCCTTTGAGGTCTCCAGAACTCTCACTACACAAGATGTAGTCAGTGTGACACCTTGTAAAAAACAAATAATAGAACACATAGATCCTAGCAAATGGGTTGGAACTAGTTCTTTAAAAAAAAAAAAAAAAGTAGTGTGGCTGAATTTAATACTATGTTTCCAAGTGCCACATGTCTACTTACATGGCTACAAGCAACCACCACTAGACAGTAGAACTTACTCAACACTGTGGTCAGCTTCTTTATTCCAAGAGCTGTTCCTGTCATTTAATTTACCTGTAGTCAGACCACTAAATACTCAAAAAGAAGTGAAAGCTCTATCCACCCACAGACCTTCTCTGTGCTTGTATCACTCCCTTTAAAAAAGAAAACCTAAATTTCCAGGCCACCAGGATCCCATCCAGCACCAAAGCCAGAATAGGCCTCCTGGGAAACCAAGACAAGGGCAGTCTCTCAAAGTTACCAAATTAGGGAGTCGCTTTGGCCCTGGAGGAGTAAGACCACTGGGTAACTATTTATTAGACAAATCCTCACAGCAACAGTGCATATGAAAGTGCCCTGCAGGAGGATGGGTGAATACTGAAAGGGGTCGTGGGGAAGACTGTGGCTGGGGAAAAACCTGTTGCTCCATTCGGCAGTAAAGGGTTGTGTACACCAAAGTCCATAACAGTAAACTCAGAGGTCCCTCTCACTGAGACAGCAATGATTTTAGGCCGAATTGGATTGGGCACTCTCAGAACTTACTACCCAAGATGGGGTAAAAGATGAACAGATAAATCAATCCAAGAGAAAAAAGAAGGCTGCGACATCTAGGACTTGGAGACTGTTAAGGGTTCCTAGGATTTGAATTGAAGGGCGTCATCCCTTTGAGTTGAAGGCCATGGGGATATGGATATGGACAATGAGTTCTCCTACCTACCACCAGAAAGCCCTGGTCGATTCTGAGGCAGTGAGGTGTAGCTCAGTTGGTTTTTCATGAGCACATTCTCTGTTCAACACACAATTATTTGAAAGCCTCTGTATGGTTTGATTGTGCTTTGTGATTTTTGGCTTGCTCTGTCTTATCGTATATGCATTGAGTATTGACCTGTGTGTTTTGTGACTTAACTATTAAAAACACTGTAATAGTACATGTGAATTGCTTCCGCTCTTTTTTCCGAAGCTTTGGGAAGTGGGGGTGGGAGGTCCAGCGTCTCAAAGCTAAGAGCATCTTCCCAAAGGTGGTTCTGCTTATGACCTGGAGTTGACATCAGTGTCTGGCCAGCAGCAGCCTGGGAGCCTGAAGCCCAGCTAGGCCTGGGTCTAGCCCTGTTAGTGGTTTCTGCAAGTGGAAAACCTGAATAAAAGGGGGTTGTCAGGCACCTAGGCATGAAGCAGGGGGTCTAAGGGCCAAGTTTAGCCTGACTGGCCCTGCGTGCACCAGCCTGAAGTATCTAATAAAATTGGCCTCTTGATGTCATTGGTTGGTTTCACAAATTCAATTAGCTGTGTTCACGGATGCTGCAACAGGGTGTGAAAACAGCATGAGCCTGGATTCAGAATGCCCCAAGCTCAAACCTCAGTTTCCTTATCTATGGAAAGGGGGTGGTAAGGATAATGGGATAATGTAAGTAAAGGATCTACTAAAGTGACAGACTCTCATTTTGTATAAGTTTAAGATAAACAGGGCTTTTATTGGCTTATGTAGCTAGGTTATCTGAGAGCTGGATTCAGGCACACCTAGATCTAGGGATGTGATTAAGAATCTGGATACACTGGTAGATGGGCTGAATGATGGGGTAGGCAAAAGGGAATATACTCATGACCATATATAAGTTGATAACTTCTTAGCCACAGACAACCACCCCAAGGGAGTGAATTGTTGGGCCCGAGGGCTCAGGACCATGGTCACAGGGGACATCAAGCTCAATTGGCAGAATATAGTACACAAAAACATTGTTCTAAATCCCACTTTGGTGAGTAGTGACTAGGGTCTTAAAAGCTTGCAAGCAGCCATCTAAGGTGAAACAATTGGTCTCTCCTCCTCTGGAGCAAAAACAAATGAAGAAAACCAAAGATGCATGGAAACAATTAGTCCAAGAGATTAGTGGACCTTGCAAACCTCAGCCTATATAACAGAAGAACTAGATGGTGCCCAGCTACCACCATCAACCACTCAGAAAGGGATCAGTTCAGGAGATACCGGATAGAGTGGGAAAAAAATGTGGAACAGATTTCAAAATCATAAAAGAAAAAAAATAAAATAAAATAAGGCTTGGCCTTTAGTAATCCTTTGGGCATGGAATTGAACTCACTCCTGTGGCTTCCAGCTAAACATAGACAGGTATATAAGGTGAACATTTATACCAGGTAGGTACACTCCTTAGAACAATCAACTGTGGGAGATAAGAAGGGCAGTATTTGCACAGATACTCAGAAGGACACAAGGAGGAAGTGAGAAGAGAGCTATTACATGATGGGGCTTGCAATCGATGTCATGAAACAAAATGTGTATGAACTGTTTTATTGGAAATGAATTTTCTCTGTAAACCTACACTCAAATCAGAATTTTTAAAAAATTTTAAAAACCCATCTAGATGCAATGATTGGTCTCTCTTCATCCAGAACAAAGAAGAATGAAGAAAACAAAAGACTCATGGAAACAATTAGTCCAAGCGACTGGTACACCTCAGCCTATACGACTATGAGACCAGAAGAACTAGATGGTGCCCAGCTACCACTGTCAACCACTCAGAGGGGGTTCAATGTAGGAAATCCTGGATAGAGAGGGAGAACAATGTGAAACAAAACTCAAAATCATTTGGGGAAAAAAGGGGGGCGGGGACCAGGTTTGCTGATCTGATAGAGTCTGGTGGAACCACTGAGACTATGGTCCCTAGCTACCCTTCAGGTCTGGAATTGAACCCATACCTGTGGCTTCCAGCCAAAGAAAAGACAAGCATAGGAATTGAACATTTACCTGAGGTAGATACACTCCTCGGAGAGAACAATCATGGGAGAAAGAAGGGCTGTGTATGCACAGGGAGATAGCTCAGGGGGCAGGAGAGCATGGAAGGATGGACACAGGCAAGAGGTAATTATTGGGAGGAAGTAGGAGGGGAGTTGTTGCATTGGGGGTAAATTGTAGTCAATGTCATGAGACAAAGTGTATGTGAACAGCTATATGGAAAGTGAATTTGCTCTGTAAATTTTCACCCAAATCACAATAAATAAATAAATAAAACTTCCGCCTTTCTTTGTCCATATCTCAGTTCTGCTTTCCTCTCTGTCGGTTTGCTTCTCAAGCAGGTTGCTCCCATGGAGTGTCAGCAATGGCTGTTCACAGTTCTAGGCATATGTCATCCTTTCAGGTAGGGAGCCCCACCAAAAGGAAGCATTTCTTTCCTGATACCTGTAGGGGGAAAAAAATCTTAATAAAGCTCTTTGGACTATTTCAGTCCTATGGCCATCCTTAAACCCCTCCATATAGCCAGAACAGTACAATCTAGCTTGCCAGGTCTAGGTCCCAATCAAGTTGTAGAGATTTATCATATGCCACAAAGACTATGTTTTAGGCTCTTTAAGTCCTTAAAAATCATGTAAACACCATTGCTTTGTCTCAGTGCTTCCCCTTTTGGTTGAAACTGAACTCCCAGGAAAGGTTAGAGGTACAACATTTGACTCTCTCTGACTAGTCACCAAACAGCCTTGTCTGTATGGTACACAAGGGAAGAGCTGAGAGATTATTTTGGTTCACAAAGAAAATATAATTAAAACCTGGAAATGGTCAAAACTTTGCATCCAATTTTAAACAAATGAGATAATAAAACTGATTAGTAGAAAACTGTCCTCAGTTATAACATGTTGAGCCATTCAAGCTTGTTGTTGTTGTTGTTATGTGAAATCGAGTCGGCCCCGACTCATAGCGACCCCTCCTTGGGTTTCCGAGGCAGTATCACTACGGAAGTAGGATGGCCAACCTTCCTTCCGAGGAGTGGCTGGTGGGTTTGAACCGCCAGCCGTCTGGTTAGCAGGCAAGTGTCTTAGCCACTATGCTACCAGAGCTCCCCATTCA